GGGACAGAACTCAGGACCTTGCACTTGCCTGGCAGGCACTTATTCTACTGAGCTATCTCCCCAGCCTATCCCCATTTAATATGATCCAACAAGCCAGGTGTTATTGGCACAAGTTTGTAATCCCAGTATTTGGGGGGCTAAGACAGGAGACTCACCATCAGTTTGAGGCCAGGCTAGGTTAGTGAGTTCAAGATCAACCTAAACTACATAGCAAGACCCTGTCTCAATAACAAAACAAAATCCAACGAAATATTTTTAAAGGTAAAAGAACCTAAAGGATATGGTGGGGTATACCCATAGGGTGTGTTACCATGCAGCCATTAAAATGTGGTTTTGCTGGGCACAGTTATTATGTACCCAAAGGCCCAGCTACTTGGGAGGCTGACATTGGAGGACTGCATGCCAGCCAGGGCAGTTTAGTGAGACCTTGTTTCTTATTTAAAAACAAATCTGTAGGGGCCGGGGAGATGGCTCAGTAGAATAAGCACTTCCCTGGCAAGTGCAAGGGTCTAAGTTCAAACCCCAGTTCTGCAAAAAAAAAAAATCTGTGTTTTTGAAGAGTAACAATAAAGGAAGGTGCTTATTATGCAATGTGGAGTGAAAACATAATGTGCTTATGTATAATATATCAATAACAAAAAGATATTGCAGAGGGGCCGGGGAGATGGTTCAGTGGAATATGCGCTTCCCTGGCAAGCGCAAGGGCCTGAGTTCAATCCCCAGTTCCACCAAAAAAAAACAAAAAAAAAAATTATTGCATAGGAATTTTTTTCTTTTTTTAAAATGTATTTGGTATAGGGGCTTACTATGCAGCTTGGACTTGTAGTGATCTTCCTGTTTTCAGCCTCCTCAGCGCTGGGATTACAGGTGTGCGTCACCATGCCCAGTCTCCTGGCTCAGCACACCCAGGGGGCGGGGCCAGCGAGGCATGTGGTGCCAAGGATCAAACCCCAGTCCCTGTGCTTGCCTAAGCAGGTGCTTAGTCTGCTGAGCGTCTATTGTTTTTGTATAAGACAGTCTAAAGAATACAGTTGTAGACATTAGACTGACAAGTGGAAAGAATAAAACAATGTAATATTTAGCTGCTTGAGTAAGCAGTGGTGTCAAGGAGCCATCACTGAAGTTACTCTCGTTATCTGGAAAAAGGTGAACTGAGAGGCCCATGAGCAATGAGCAAAATGACCTATCAGTCTGACTCCTGTCTCTATCCATCAGTCTGACTCCTGTCTCTATCCATGTCTAGCTTTTAGAACAAGCACTGGTGATTGAGGAACAGCTGCGCAGGGCAGCTTACCTGAACATGTCCGAGGACCCTTCTCACCCTTCCATGGCCCTCAACACTCGCTTTGCGGAGGTGGAGTGTTTGGCAGAAAGTCACCAGCACCTGTCCAAGGAGTCGATGGCAGGAAACAAGCCAGCTAATGCAGTTCTGCACAAAGGTAGTCAGTGGCTCTCCTGCCTCCTGTGATGAATCTATCCCTTCCACTAACTCCCTTTCTCAAAATTCAAAGAGTTCTTGCCTAGACCCTTTTTCAGAGTTTGCTAGAGAGCTTTGGTGTGCTGAGGATCTCCCCCCATTACAGGCAGCCAAGGACAGTAGTTCTTTGCCTCTTCTAACTCTATATAGTCATTCTTGAGATAGAAAGGAAAGCAGAATAATAGTGTCATCAAGGATACTTGAGAGGCAATTTAAGGTGATTTAAGATCTTTAAATTCTAGACCCTTTTCAACATTTATTTCTAATTCAAGTAAAACATTCTGAGGAGGTGGAGGGTGAAACAAGAATAAGGCTGTTAACATAGGAAGTGGGAGACATCCACAAGGTAGGGAGGCACGATAAGAGTGCAAAGGAAACAGCAGGAACAATCTTGTCTGGAGAAGTGGAGGAGATGCAGATAGTCACGAGCAAGGGATAATAATAGGGATAGTTAGATGATGCTAAGGAGAACTGCAGGGCAGTGAGCTAGAGTTGAGGAACAGTAATTTGAGCACAGTCCAGGGCAGATCTGATGACTTAGTTACAAAAGATAACATATCAGTCACTTAGTCCTTAAAAATGAAGGCCTGGGTATGATGGTGCACACCTGTAATGGTAGCATTTGGAAAGCTGAGGCAGGAAGAATCACCATAGGTTGGAAGTCAGCCTGAGCTATACAGTGAGTTCAAGGTCTGCTTGAACTACCCGGTCTCAAAAAAAAAAAAAAAAAAAAAGAAGATGGTGTAGAAAGATTTAAAGATCTCCATCTGGAGCTCACCACCTTTTTTTCTCTCTGCAGTTCTCAAGCAGCTAGAAGAACTGCTGAGTGACATGAAAGCCGATGTGACCCGACTTCCAGCTACCATTGCCCGAATTCCTCCAGTTGCTGTGAGGTTACAGATGTCAGAGCGGAACATTCTTAGCCGCCTGGCAAACCGAGCACCAGAGCCTCCCCCACAGCAGGTAGGACCATTTCTTATTAAGTTTATTGATACATTTTAGGCATATATATATTATCACATTCATGATAAGGATTTTGTACTAGTACATGATATAACTTGATTATTTTTTTCCATTCCCCTACCCTCCCTTTAACACCTCTTGTCCTCATTTATAAAAGCTTTGTATCCAGTTTTTTCCTTCTCTCATCATTTTTTTTTTCCTCTTCCTTCCTTTCCCTCTTCCCCTAGTTCCCCTTCCCCTTCCCATTTGAAGGTTTCCTTCTGTCTCACAGTATCTATTACGCATTTTGGTCCTTATTTACACCTTGGGTTTTTTTTTTTTTTTTTTTTTTGGAACCGGGGATTGAACTCAGGCCCTTTTGCTTGCCAGGCAAGTACTTAATCTACTGAGCTATCTCCCCGGCCCCTACACCGTGGGTTTCTTAAACCAGAGAAACAATGCAGCATTTTTTTTCTTTTTCTTTTTTTTTTTTTTCCTTTTTTGGTGGCTCGCTCAGCCTACCCTGGGGGCGGGGCTAGCATGTCATGTGGTACCGGGGATCAAACCACGGTCCCTGTGCTTGCCTAACCTTGCTTAGTCTGATGAGCTATGTCCCTGGCCCAACAATGCAGTTTTTTTTTTTTGTGGAACCAGGGATTGAACTCAGGCCCTTGCACTTACCAGAGAAGTGCTTATTCCACTGAGCCATCTCCCTGGCCCCACAGTATTTTTTTAAATTAATTTTATTGAGAAATAGCAATGATACAGTTTTGAAACTGATTATTAGTAGGACAGTTTCAGTAATTAATACACTGCATATTTTTATCTCCATAGTAGTTATTCATAGTACAAGATGCAGACATGACATCCTGTCCAAACACTATTGGTACAAATCTTTCTGCTTTATCTTGGTCTTAACCATCCAGCAGAGAAGTATAAAAATGAGGTATAAAAAGTGAAGCCATGGGGCCGGGGAGATGGCTCAGTAGGATAAGCGCTTGACTGACAAACGCAAGGATCTGAGTTCAATCCCCAGTTCTGCCACAAAAAAAAAAAAAAGTGAAGCCATATTAATGCTGAGCTGTGAAAGGTTCAAGTCAACAACTTCTGACATTGTCAGTCCTACGGAAAACCCACTACTATTATGGACTACTGGACTATATTGGATTAATTTGCTGAATTCACACACCTACAATATTTAAATGGCAATGGAATACCCATCTCTGACAAAACTAAACCGAAAAAAACAATGCAGTATTTACACCTGTGTAGGACCATTTTCTTCTCTGTGCCAGGTCTTCCCACAGAACCGTTCTTGAGCTTGTATTTTTGCTTTCAGTCCCTCCTGGGCTGTCCAGTGAATACCCTGGGCTCAGGTGGTCTGCAATTCTAACTCTTGGCTCTCTCTCTGTAGGTTGCCCAGCAGCAGTGACTATCTCAATCGGTGATGATCACTTCCACAGCTGAGCAGTTTTCTCTTGTCCCAGCTTCTCCCCAAGGGGCCTGAGAGACCCTCGCCTTCTGCCCATCTTCGTGTAAAGGAACAGCCCTGGGCACCGGCGCAGGGAGGGAGTGAGGGGCAGCAGTGCCCTTCTGCTGAAGAGACATGCAGCAGTGCGCCGGCGCCATCTGCAGGGAGCTGGCGGGCTGGCCTTCTGGACCCTGGCTTCTCCCCACTGTTACACAGACTGTTGTGGGTTCCTGCCAGGCTTGAAGAAAATGATCTGAATTTCTTCCTCCTTTTGGTTTTATTTTGTTGGTTTATTTTGTGTTTTCTTTTGTCCTTTTTGGGGGTTACTGAGAGTGGGCCGGGCCCCTGGGCGAGACACAGCTACCTCTGTTGGCATCTTTTTAATACCAGGAACCCAGCGGCTCCAGCCACTGAGCGGCTAGAATGAAATAAAGTGGAGGAAAAAAAAAAAAAAAAAACCAAAAGCATAAAAAGCCACAGCAAATTTCTTGATGAAAACTGAAAATAAAAACTTCCTTGTATTTTAGTGTTGGTTCAGTGTGGGTGTAAAGGCATAGGGCATGGAAGGAACCCTAGGAGGTGTGGGTGGAAAGGAAGAGCTGGCTGCAAGAGCCCCTGGTACCGCAGCCGGAGAGATCCTGTGCTCAGCGGGGCCTGTAGCAGGGCCTGTCTGGACTTTATTGTGGGTAAACGAGTAAACTGACTAGGACTTTTAGTTTTTTTGCCAGTGAGAGACAGTGATCATTTAGATTTTTTTTTTTTTCTTTTATACTGGGGATCGAACTTGGGACCTTCTGATTGCCTAGCAGGCCCTTATGCCGCTGAGCTAATCCCTAATGGTTAGATTTGTCGTTTTTTTTTTTTTTTTTTGCAGAACAGGGGATTGAACTCAGTTCCTTGCGCTCGCCAGAGAAGCACTTATTTCACTGAGCCATCTCCCCAGCCCGTTTAGATTTTCATACTAGGTGGGGCATGGAGGTGCATGCCTTTAATCCCAGCACTTAGCAGGCTGAGGCAAGAGAATTGCGGGAAGTTATTCAAGGCCAGCATGGGCTGCATAGTGAGGTCTCAAAAGCCCAAAAGAAAATTATTTTTTATGCTAAATATTACCTTAGTTCTGGAAGGGTTCAATAGGTTTTTCTTCCTCAGTCCAGTGGAACTGGCTCCCTCAGACGTCGGAAGCCAACGGGAATCCCTTGCCTGGGTGGAAAGGGTGAGGTCGCTGGCGCGCTGTTGCTCTAGGGCGAAGGGGAGGGGCGGCTTTTCGGTGCCAGCCCTTCGGGGCTGATTAGATTGACGCAAAAGAGCCCCGCGGCGGAAGCCGCTCCCTAGGCTGAGCGGGCGGCCCGAGGCCGTCTTCCGCTCCCGCGTCGGAGGGTACCGAGCCCCGGCGAGGCTACGACCGGAAGGGGCGGGGCAGAGAGCACGCGCCTGCGCGACGCGCTTCCGCGGAGTGTGCGGCCCGGCGCTGCCCAGAGTGCACGTGCGGCGGCCCCTACCTTCGAGCGGCGGCTGGCATTTGGTGGTTTGGGGTAGGCAAAGCCCAGAGCTGGGTTCGCGGGAAGTCGGGGCGCAGAAGGATGCCGCGCAGTCTGGGTGGGGGTGGGGCCGGCTGCGGGGCTCGACGACCGCGGGCCTGGCGGGGCGGGTGGGCCTCGGGGGCCCTTTCCCACGCTGCTGTCGCCGAGCCGTAAGTCGCCGCCTTATCCCATGCTTTCCTCCAGTAGCATGGGGCGCAAGTTGGACCCTACGAAGGAGAAGCGCGGGCCGGGCCGAAAGGCCCGGAAACAGAAGGGTGCCGAGACTGAGCTGGTCAGGTTTCTCCCTGCAGGTAAGGGTTCCTGCCCTGGAGCCTTTCTGTGTGGGCGCATCCTGCTTGGGTACAAGACGCCAGGAAGAAATTGCGAGGGGAAGCCTGGCGTAGGACAGGAGGGTGTAATGAGATATACTCGTGCAAGAGGTGTTCTTTCTCATTGTGGATTTATTTTTTTGCAGAGTCTGTAGTTTTGTGAAAGCTGGATTTGGAAAATAGTAGCATTTTAGCAAGTGGGAGTTGGGAATGGGACAGGTCAGTCATCTGATGGGGGGATGGAGATGGGGAAACTTGGGTGAGTGAGAAGTCGTCTGCCTGGAGCTGAGGTGGGTCAGATAGCTGCAGAGGGAGTTTTGGTGTTGGGCAAAGGCTGCAGTTTATTGAAGGTTTAGCAAGCCTACTGGGTACTCTTAGGAAACACCATATCGCTCCGTCCTCTAAGAAAGGGGTGTTAAGAGTTTTTTTTTATTTTTTTTATTTTTTTTCAAAGTTTTATTGATAAACAGCAATGAGACAGTTTCAAATCAAATCAGAAGTACAGTTTCAACAAATAATACACTGCATATATTCTTCTTAGTGGTTAATTGCTGTACAAGATGCGGACTTGTGATCCTATTTACAAACACCATTAGAACAAATCATTCTATTCATTAAGAGAATGCAACTATATATCTATCCCAACCACTTTGAATACATAGATACAAAATGGACATTCATTGGCATACCCCATTTTTTCTAAGTTCCGTTATTGAATATTATAGGTGTGTTAAGAGTTTTAAACGACAGGGCTGAGATTGTGCCTTTTATGTCCGGTGCATTAAAATCAGTGGTTGATAACTGAGTAATCTGAGAATAAAGGAAAAAGAGATTTTTGAATTGATATTAACAGAATGGGGATGTTGTACTTTGTTGAAACCTGGAGGAAGGCCCAGTTTACATTTTAAATTGGTTTCTCAAGACGGGGTCTTTAAAAAAAAAAAAAGACAGGGTCTTTTTTTGGGGTAGGTACTGGGGATCAAACTCCGGGACCTTGCGCTTGTCAGGCAGGCACTTACGTTGCTATCTCTCCAGCCCTTAAGACAGGGTCTTGCTGTGTATTTCAAGTTGCTCCTTAATTTGCAGTGATCCTCCATCAGCCTTCCAAGATGCTGGGATTACAGTGGTGCACTAGCACACACACAAACTCTGGTGGATTTTAAATTTTTATTACTTTTTTGGTACCCAGGATTGAACTGAGTGAGTTGCATCTTTGGTCTTTTTAAATTTTCTAAGAATTTTTTAAAATTATGAGGTCATGTTTCACCAAGTTGCTAAATTGCTCATGCTAGGTTTATGTATACTTGCTATCTCCCTGCCTCAGCCTCCTCGAGTGCTGGAATTACAAGTTTACCATGAAGACTTAGTTATTGAACAATCAGATAAATGCTTCATGTCCTTTGTTTTTGTTTTAGTAATACTGGGATTGAACACACAACTTTACATGTGCTAAGGATATACTCTACAGCTGAGCTACATGCCCCACAGCCCTTCCCTTTTTATCTAGCTCCTAGTGTTACAGTTATAATGTACTCCGTTTATTGCCTGTTTACCCTGTGGTGCTGTGGATTGAACCCAGGATCTCATATGCTGAGGATGAGGGCTGTACATTCCCACACCTCCAGCTCTCTGCTCCCTTTAATTAGTGTGCTGTTCCTCTTCTGTTGTTCTTTTTCCTGTAATCTTTATTTTTTCAGGTAGAGCCTCACTGTTTATGTAGTTTAGCCTGGCCCTGAACTCACTATGTAGTCCAGACTGGCCTCAAACTCGGGTACTTCTCCTGCTTCAGCCTCCCAAATGCTGAAATTATAGGCATGTGCTGCCACAGCTAGCCTGCTCCCTGCCTGTTTAAAGAGCAGGTTGCATTTCTTGGGGAAGGAAAGCTTCTAAGAGGGACAGAAGGGATTCTAAACATTCTGCTTTTCAAGGGAATTTTATAGAGCAAGACCACAAGGTGAGTTAGGTCCGAGGTGGGAAAAACTAATCAACTAACAAGATTACCTAGGTTTATCATTTAGGTAATATTGATCCAATGGGAAATCACGAGGTAGTGAGGTAGATCGAAATGATGGCAAACCAATAAGATTGTGAATATATATAGTCACTTTGGTATTGTTAATTCAGTGGGAAATCACAAAGTATTGTGATATGGGATGAAACAGGTAAAAATTTGAAGCATAAAAAATTTAGGAGGTCTGGGGAGATAGGTCAGTGGCATAACGCACCTGCTTGGCAAGCGGTCTTGAGTTCGATCCCTCGTACCAAAAAAAAAATTAAAATTAAAAGAAAAAAATTTTTTATTCAGCAAATTACAATCCAGAATCTGTGAAAAACAAACTTGGTGCTATCCAGTTACCTCATTGGAAGACCTCCAAAATGTTATAGGGGAAAGAAACTCCCAAACTGTTCCATGTCCAGTGTAAGTTTGTGTTATAAAATATAAGAATGAAATGTAGGAACAGTGGGGTTACGAGCAGAATACATTAACTAGGGAAAGAAGGCTGCTTTCTAAGACAGAAGGGGTTCCAAGTGGGTTGCCTTATTCTGCCTTTTATTTTTAAGCAGCTAGTGATGAAAATTCCAAGAGACTGTCCAGTCGTGCTAGAAAGAGGTAAGTGTATATGTCCAGATTTTCTTTCTTTTTCTTTTTTTTTTTTTTTTCAGATTTTCATAGATTAAATTGGTGCTGCTCATTCATCTTTAGCTACATGGAGTTTGGTTGTGACTCATGTCATTTTCTCCTGGGGGGTGGGGTGGCCAGCAGGAGCCATATTCCCTCTTCTCAATTCTTATATCTTTTAGGGCAGCCAAGAGGAGGTTGGGTTCTGTTGAAGCCTCTAAGACAAGTAAGCCCTTGGGGACCAAACCATCGCCTAGAAAGTTACCAGAAGGTTAGTGGAAGTAGAAGATGGGTCTCCTTGAGGGCTCTGATTAGTCTTGGGCAGGGCAGACTTGCTGAGCATGGAGGTGTGCAAGGAAGAGCCAGAGACCATTCCTAGGGGTGGAAAGTAACAGGCCAGGGTGTGGGGCAGGGCAGTGACCTTGTTTTTAGTCATGGATTCTTCAAATCCTTGGGGACTTTTACAGAAGCAGTCCAGATACCTGGTAAGAAGGGAACACAGTCCTTGTTTGACACCACTCGAGGTAAGAAGCGTCCAGCCCCAGCCCACAGCAGTGATGAAGAGGAGGAGGAGGAAGACTCTGAGGAGGATGGCGAGGTAGAGCACATGGCCCTGTGGGGCTCCGAGGACAGTGATTCTGAGATGGCAGATGACTATGGAGCCGACTCGAACTCAGAGGATGCGGATGCTGGTGAAAAGGTGAGACTCACTTCTGGTTATTCACAGACAGAACCTTGCCTTTTAGCTTCTTTCCACATTCTTGAGACCAGTGACAGATAACCTGGCTAGTTAGGAGGGGTGCTAGTCTTCTTTGCTCTCTACTGCAGTATGTTCTTTTTCCCAGCACTCACAAGTTTGAAAGCACTGTGGGAGAGAGCATTTTACAAAGTGAGGATGCTCATTGCTGGTGACGCTGAGGGGAGGTTGATACTTGTATGCCACACCAATGTGAATAGACGTGTAAATACATTTTTAATAAAATAATTGTGACCTGAGTTCTTCTGGGCCTGGTGCAGTGGCACTGTCGTCTCACGTACTTGAGAGACAGGCAGGAGGATTGCTGGAGTCTAGGAGTTCGAGGCCAGCCTGAGTAACATAAGAACTGTCTCAAAAATATATTATTCTTTGGACTAATTTTGTTTCAGAAAATGATGAAAAATGTAGGCAAAAGGTATTTATTGAGATGTAAGAAGTTACTACATAATTGCATGTTAGAATGTTGTTACAAAAAACTCTTTTGAGCAGTATGCAAAAAAGGAAAATTCCCAATTGCAGCCCAGAACCTTGCACATGCCAGACAAGCATTCTGCCCCTAAGTTACATCCCTGGCCTGACTCCATTTACATTCATTCCCATAGCCCTCTTCTATCTGCAGTTACAAAGTTTGCAAGCACCATGTGCATTATAATTCCCTGAAAAACAGAAGTTGCCAAGGCATCAGCTATGGTTAAGTGGATTATAGTTCCTGGGTCTGATGAGTTAACATTGGCCATTTTGTCTGAGAAAATGCTCATGATCAACTAAGGAATAAGAAACAATGACAAAGTAATGCCCAAGAGTGGTTTGTGTTCTTTTTGTATATACAGTAGTAAAGATATATA